CCCCCAGGCAAGACCTCCTCTACAGGGAGGTTTGGAACCACTTTGGAGGGAGGGTAGGATCTGGATAACTGGAGAGAAGGGGGAGGACACGTCACTTGAGGAAACATCCTGAGTGAAAGTGCCGGTGGTAGACACGGGGGACGAAGGTCAGGCAGAGGGAGCTGTGGGCTCTGAGCTGTAAAGGAGGCTGTAGCTCCCTCTTCAGGGCCCATCTGGGGAGCTTTGACTGTATCATGACCTACGCAAAAGAATATTTTTATAAGTATTTACAAAGGACATCACAGGCCTCCATATGCCTAAGTAGTGACTGGGTGGCTGGGTGTTCAGAAGGGTGGTCAGGTGGTGAAGTGTGGCAGCCCAGAGCAGTGAAAACCCCAGCAGAAGACCAGCCGCCAGGGCAGTCTGGCAGCCCAGGCCCGCGTGATGAAGGTGAAGGACATCACAGGCCTCCATATGCCTAAGTAGTGACTGGGTGGCTGGGTGTTCAGAAGGGCGGTCGGGTGGTGAAGTGTGGCAGCCCAGAGCAGTGAAAACCCCAGCAGAAGACCAGCCGCCAGGGCAGTCTGGCAGCCCAGGCCCGCGTGATGAAGGCGGAGCCGGGACGAGGGGCAGGGAGGGATTGGGGGGAGGTGTCAGGATTTGGTGACATCTCAAGGACCTTGACAATTCCAGAGGGGTTGATTTAATTCCTAGAGGGGTTGATCTAATTTTATATATGTGCTCTGAGTATTGTCTCTAGGGGGAAACATGTTTTAGGATACTTGGAGGCAGTTACTGGCCAGGCTGGGTTACTGGTACAGGGGCTAGAAATTTGGGCAGGAAGTGGGTGACGAGCCACGTCTATGAGGAATTCTAGCTTTCCCTGGTGTCCACATTGAAGGAGGGTCCACTCGTCTCCTCCTTCCTTTTTTCCTCCTCTACTGGTGATGCTGTGTCAGGGGAGGGGAGGACGTGGCCATAGGAGACGCTGCTTGACCCCGTGGGGCCCTCAGTGACCCAGCAGGAGGGGCGGGGGGTGGCTCTCGGGTGAGGTGGGCTTGGTTTCCAGAGGGTCGGGAAGGTTCGAGGAGGAGGAAGGGACTCCAACGTGGTGTCCTCGGCAGAGGTAGGTTGTCCTGCACATGAGAAGCTCATGTGAGAGGGCAAAAGGGGCCGAAATCTAGCCTGTGTGCCCCTTACCAAGCCACACACCCCAGGGCCAGGCCATTCAGAGCCACACCCTCTGCCTGAGGTGCTACAGGTGGTCGTGTGGTTAGTGTGGGCATTGGGTTCCCTGCTGTTTATAGCAGTTTGAGCACAAGTAAAGTAACTGACTGTGCTTAGGCTCTTGGTGGTATGAATGCACATGTACCCTGGTTTGTATTGAACACTATTAACAGTTTATAAATAATAATTATAGTGGACTTACTCTTGTCTGTACGAAGGTGTGTGTGTGTATGTCTTAGTCAGTTTGGGCTGCTATAACAAATTACCGTAGTCTGGATGGCTAAAACAATAAACATTTATTTTTCACAGCTCTGGAGGCTGAAGTCCGAGACTGGGGTGACAGTGTGTTTGGGTTCTGGTTGAGAGCTGTCTTCTGAGTTGCAGGCTCCCTGTGTCCCCACATGGTAGAAGGAGTGAGAGAAAGTCTCACTGGGCCTCTTTGATAAAGACACTAATCCCATTCATGAGGGCTCCACCCTCATGACCTAATCCCCTCTCAGAGGTCCCACCTCCTGGTACAATCACAGTACTGGTGAAGATTTCAACATATGGATTCTGGGGGAACAGGAACATTCAGTCCATGGGCAGGGGTAAGGAAACCATAACAGGGTGTTGGGGCACCCAAGACTAGTGTGCGGCAGGGCTGAAAGGCCAGGGGAGGAGATGGAGTTTGCGGAGCCTGGTGAGAGATGAGGCGGGGGAGGATGCATCTGTGCCAGGACAGGTGACCCAGAGCAGGAGACAGTGGAGGGAGATGGACCGGTTTCTCCCCAGCCCTCCAGGACCTCATCACCGGCCATGTGGCAAGGCCCCTGGTGATGGCAGGTGCAGGGGCAGCTTTCAGGGGCACAGTGCAGGCAAGAGAAAGACAGAGGATAGATTGGGAGGATGGGATGGGCAAATGACAAATAAGCAGAGCTCTCATGCTCTCTTCTCTTGAAATTAGGATTGTTTCCCCGATTTTATAGATGAGGAGACTGAGCTCAAGTGGTTTTCCTCAGGTCCATCTGGCTACTAAAGCAGAGCTTGCCTCGAGACACAGACTGGCCCTGTGCTTGTCTGCGATCCCTAGTTGTTTATGTAGAGTGTAGTGTTCCTTCTTGGATGGAGATATGCTTGGGGACTTTTCTGGGTCACCCCAGCAACTAGGGCAAGGTGTGCATAGAGTTGTGTTATTGTCAGTCAAGACTCCATCTTATCTCTAAAAGTCAACTCATGAAAAAGAACAAAGAGTAAATGCAGGTGCAAATGGCCAGGCCATTTCCAGAGGTGGTTACATGGTGTAAAGGAAGGAACAATCCCTAGGAGTCTCTTAGGCTCAATGACATTCCCTAATGACAACTTCTCTCTCTCTCTCTCTCTGGCTTGAACATTCTCATTATTTTTACCCCTCTTGTGTCTTCACAGATTCTTGTCAGGTTTTTAACATCACTATTGTGACCATAAATGCCACAAGCATGACCCTGATCTGGGAAATCAGCTGTAATGAGTCATCCTCTGTCAATACCTACAAGATAGAAGTGGCTGGGGAGACCGACCCCCTCAATCTCACTGTCAGTGAGACTCGTGCCTTCATCTCTGGCCTCAGCTCAAGTACCTTCTACAACATCACAGTGCGTCCTTTCCTGGGCAACGACGAGGGCGTGCCGGGCTTTCTCCAAGTGTACACTCGTGAGTTCGCTGGTGGCGCTAGCTTACCTTTCTTGCTGGCTTATTATGCACCATGCCCAGATACAAGACAAAGCAACTCTGTCCTTGTCCTTGAAGGCACAGCTCAGTGTGGGGTCCACAGGGACTCTCTCCCCCTTCAGGATGTGTGATACAGAAATGGTGGCCATCTGACCCTAACCACATGCTGAGCTTTGTGTGACAGGCTCTTCTTGTGCTGTCTCATTGAATTTAACAACAACTCTGGGACACGTTTGGCATTAGCCTTATTTGAGGATGAGGAAGCCAAGGTTGGGAGAGGTGTTGTAGACAGGTGTCACATTGGTAAGTGACCAACGTTGAGATTAGACCTCTGGTCTGTCTCAACTCCAACCTGTGCTTGTAATGACTACTTTAGTGTGGTAGAGACCTAGAGCGAATTGATACAGGGTGACAAAAAAGGACCTGGATATTCATGTCCCTTTGTCTCTTGGAGGCTGACATTATAATAAAGCACTGGCACAGCTACATCTCATCCTTTGCTTAAATGTCCCTTAAGGATAAGATGATAGGCAGCAAACTTTCCAAAGAAGGTCCAGTAATGTAAAATAAGACAATAATGACGTGCTAGTAGAATAGTAGTGTAATAGTACTGTTACCACTAACGCATTTTGTGCTGTGCCAGGAGCTTGGCACATATTGCAGTGGCCTTCACAGTTGGTATTAGGATCCCTGTTTTACAGATGAGAAAACTGCAGCCCAGCACAGCCAACAATCTGCCCAAGGCCATAGAGCTAGCAAGTGGCAGGGCGGGGACTTGAACCCTGGGAGCCTGGCTCTGGATGTTTCTGTCGCTTCCTGGAAGCATACCGCAAGCATCCTCACAAATGTCTTTCAACGGGCTCTTTGGGGAAAATAAAATGTTCTTTCAGTTCTTCACCTTCTGCTTTTTGCAGTTTAATCTCTCTATTTTTTAAGGATAGGTTCAGCTGTGAGTAACACACCCCCGCCCAAAGTATCAATAGCTTAAACAAGACAGGAGTTCAGGAATTTATTTCTCTTTCACATAAATGGAGCCCGCTGCTAGGCAGGATGGTAGGGTGTTAGCTAGGGCTCAGCTGCAGGAAACAAAACCATGAGCTATTTTAAGCCAAAAGGGATTTATCCTGGGAATTGAGAGTTTACAGAGTCACTGGAAGGGCTGATGTACTAGTTTGCTAGGACTGCCATAATAAGTACCACGGACTGGGTGGCTTAAATGACAGAAACTTGTTTTCTCATAGTTTTGGAGGCTAGAAGTCAGAGATCAAGGTAACAGCAGTCTTGGTCTGTTTTATGTTGCTACAACAGAGTACTACAGACTGCATAGTTTGTAATAAACAGAAATCGATTTGGGTCATGGTTCTGGAGGCTGGGAAATCCAAGAGCATGGCACTGGCATTGGGCGAAGACTTTCATGCTGCATCATGCCATGGCAGAACAACAAGGAAGGGCTAGAGAGGACATGTGTCAGAGCAAGAGTGGAAGGGCCTGAACTCAGTATTATTGTCCATTTTTTTGTGGCAGCTGGCCAATGTGGGGATCCGAACCCTTGACCTTGGTGTTACAACACTATGCTCTAACCAGCTGAGCTAACTGGCCAGCTCCCTCATTCTTTTTATCAGGAACCTACTCCTGTGATAACTAACCCTCTCCTGTGATGATGGCACTAATCCCTTCTCTGGAATGGCTCTACTCTCATGACCGAGTCACCTCTTAAAGATCCTACTTCTCAATACTGTTATATTGGGAATTAAGTTTATTATGCATGAACTGTGGGGGATACATTCAAACCATAGCAGCGTAGGTTTGGTTTCTTCTGAGGCCTCTGCTCTTGGCTCGGAGATGGTTGTCTCCTCCCTGTCTTCATGTGGTCGTCTGAAGCTTTCAGTCTGTGTGTTGTCTGTGTCCTAGTCTCCTCTTCTTATGTGGACACCAGTCACACTGGATTGGGACTCACTCTCCTGACCTCATTTTAAGTTAATTACCTTTTAAAGACCCTATCTTCTTCTAACAGTCACATTCTGAGGTACTGGGGTTAGGACTTCAATGTATAAACTTGGGGAGGGGGAGACACAATTCAGCTGGTAACAGCTGGGGAGCAGGCCTTAGACTGGACCCCCAGAAAGGACTTCCAGACTAAAGCTACAGAACTGACCCACCTTGAGAGTCACCACCTCTATCACAGACAGCTCACAGACAGCAGAGTGAGGAAACAGGAAGCCTCTGGTGTAGCTGCTGGATCCAGGAGTGTGTGTACTGAGCTGTGATCCTGGGATCAGGAAGTTGCAGCCACCGCCTCAGTGTTGGTTCTAGAGCCAGGCATCCTGAGCTGCAGTCACCACATCCACAGTCCAGCTATGAGGAGGAGGAGGGCAGAAGGTGTTGCTCCACCCTTTAAGGACACTTCCTAGAATTCACATAGTGCTTTTGCTCACATTCTGTTGCCAGAACTAGCTGCAAGGGAAGCTGGGAAATGTAGTCTTAATTGCAGCAGCCATGTACACAGCTAAAAATCTGGAGGTGTATGATAAATGAAGAAGGGGAGAGGTGGATTTTGGGGGGTCAACAGAAGACTCTGCTGTACCTCCCTAAATGAAGGCTCTGGGTGGCTTAGTAATGCATTCAAGAAAGGGCAGCCAGCAGCAGCCAAGGTTCTCCTCCAGAGCCTGAGCCCTTGACCATGGGCTCATGCCTCCTCTCATTTCCTGTGAATAACTTTGTACAACTCAGGCATGCCGTTTCTGCATTCTTGTAGCCAAGCACTCTCTCTGTGGCCAGAAACAGCAGTTTCTGAAAGGCTTGTGTTGTAGGTAACACTACAAAAAAGAGAGAAAGAGAAATCAGCTGTTCTAAGTGTGCATTTAATCTCAGTGTAAATATTTCATGAGAGTTGTTCACCCCTATCTTCTGTAGAAATAGAATCTTAATCTGATTATTTGCTTTCTTCCCACAGCCCCTGGTCCAGTTTCTGACTTTCGAGTGACGAGTGTTGGCACAAGGCAAATTGGCTTAGCTTGGAGCAGTAATGACTCAAAATACTTTAAGATTCTTACCACATGGGATGTAGCTGGAGAGCCTCTGGTGAAAACAACCACCAACCAAAATATTATCATTGATGACTTACACCCTGGAACCAATTATAGTTTTGAAATATTTCCACAAGGACCAAATGGAACTGAAGGGGCATCTCAAACAATTTACTGTAGTACTGGTAAGCAAATAGGCAGTGTTTTCTGTTAAACAGTGATGTTTCTTAAGGGAAGTCAGTATAATTTGTGAATGTCAGGTTTTCCAAAAATACCTGTATTAAAAAAAAAACTAAGAAAAATATTTTAAAAATTATACACACATACACACGCACTTGCACACATGATGCATATTCATTATACAGGTTGAGTATCTTTTTTCTGGAATGCTTGGGACCAGAAATATTTTGGATTTGGGATTTTTTTGGATTTTGGGATATTTGCAGAATACATACCAGTTGAGCATCCCTAATCTGAAATTCTAAATGCTTCAATGAGCATTTCCTTTGAATGTCATATCAGTGCTTGAAAAGTTTCAAATTTTGGAGCGTTTCAAATTTTGGATTTTTGGATTAGGGATATTCAACCTGTGTAAAATCCAGACAAGAAAAAGAAAAAATCTCATGCAAACCATCAACTAGAGATAATCACTAGTAAGTTTTTGTGTACGATGTTTTATGATTTTAAGATACATACGTGTGTGTGTTTATGTGTGTGTGTATATATGTGTTTTATTTTACAAATAATGAGGTCTTCCTGTACATATTATTTTATGATCTGCTTTTATTCCCACTTACCAGTTCATTATAAATATTCTTCCTCTTTTCAATATAAATATTTCTATAGGAGAATATTAATGTCTGCCTGACATTTCATTGTCTAAATAAGAGGTCAGCAGATAATAATGGGCTATGAGCCATATCTGGCCCACTGCCTATTTTTGTAAGTTAAGTTTTATTGGAACACGGCCATGCTCATTTGTTTATGTACTGTCTGTGGATGCTTCTATACTAGAATCAAGAAGTAGAAATAGAGAATATATGGCTTGCAAAACCCCAGATATTAATTCTCTGGCCCTTACAAAAAAAACTTGCTGACCCCTGGCTAGATCAGTGGTTTTCTTTTTGCTTTCTTTCTTTCTTTTTTTTTTTTGGATGGCTGGCTGGTATAGGGATTGAACCCTGAATGTTGGTGCTATCAGCACCATGCTCTAACCAACTCAGCTAACCAGCTGGCCTGGTTTTCTATGTGTAGTCCAGGGATCTCTGGGGATCCCCTAGAGTCTTTTTTTTTTGGTCCTTTTCTAACCAACTCAGCTAACCAGCTGGCCTGGTTTTCTATGTGTAGTCCAGGGATCTCTGGGGGTCCCCTAGAGTCTTTTTTTTTTGGTCCTTTTTTTTCTGACTGGCCGCACCGCGCTCAGCCAGTGAGCGCATCGCACCGGCCATCCCTATATAGGATCCGAACCCGCTGTGGGAGCGCTGCTGCGCTCCCAGCGCCGCACTCTCCTGAGTGCGCCACGGGCTCGGCTCCCCCTAGAGTTTTTTAAGAGGGCTGTGAGGTATTGTTATAATAATAATGCCAAAATATTGTTTGGCATCTTCCCTCTCATTCTCTCATAAGTGTACCGTGAGTTTTCCAGATACTATGTGACATGGTATATCATCACTGTGACGGCTAATGGAATGTATGTTTGTGTATTCTTATGTTTTCAAAATGTCCTTATTTAAAATGTCTAATAGTGTAAATATTGATAAATATAACTTACATAAACAAAAATTCTCTTAGAGCCTTAATAACTTTTAAGAGGGTAAAGAGATCCTAAGACCAAAAAGTTGAACAACTCTTTTTCTTCTTTTGGGGCGTCTGGCTGGTACAGGGATGGAACCCTGGACCTTGGTGTCATCAGCACCAGGCTCTAACCACCTGAGCTCGGTCTGGCTGTATTGTAAATTATTTAGACATCCTTATTGTTGGTCAGGTGGATTATATACGATCTTTCATTAACAGCATTATGATGTGATAGTTTTGTTAGTTCTATAAGGCTAATTGATATTGATAAAATTGTTTCATGAAAAGAATTTAGATAAATCATTGAATTATTCCTAGGCTAATAGGAGAAACTTTGGGGATTCCTAGGGAGCTGTTTTTAAAATTTGAAAACTTTTGGAAAAGCTTGAAAACATACAGTGTTCCTTGATTTTTTTTTTTTTACATGCATATGTATGTGTGTTTCTTAATCTTCGATTGCAAGAATAATTGAAATCTTTTACAAAGAGGGGAAGAATAAAGAAATCAAGACAGATTCCTTGAGCCACACATGAAATCACTTTGGCTTTTGAGATTCTCCTTGTGTAGTTTCTTTAACTCTGTGGGTTGGGTTAAACATTGATAATCACGTGGAAGATCTGCTTCCAAAATAAGGGAGCTGCTAAAATGTATTCCTCAGATGGGACGCAGCAATTCCTTTGCTTTTTTCTTTTTTGGTAGCTGGCTGGCGTGGAGATCCGAACCCTTGACACTGGTGTCAGAACACTGCCCTTTAACCAACTGAGCTAACCAGCCAGCCCCAGTAATTCCTTTTCAAGTCTGCATTTTCTTAATATCATCATATGTTTTTTTTTCTTTCTTTTTAAAAATGTTGATAATGGTAAGATGATCACTGGGGAAGAAGGGGCACTCTTGGTGTTGTGTGACTTGCTATTGCCTAGAATTTAATGTGATAATAATAATAATATATTGGTGGTCTACAAAATGCTAGGTGCTGCATACTGTATTTAAAAAATTTTAACACAAGGGTCGGCCCCATGGCTCACTCGGGAGAGTGTGGCGCTGTTAGCGCCGAGGCCGCGGGTTCGGATCCTACATAGGGATGGCTGGTGCGCTCACTGGCTGAGCGTGGTGCAGACGACACCATGCCGAGGGTTGTGATCCCTTACCGGTCAAAAGAAAAAATAATTAACACGACTTTATGAGTAGAGATTATTATCATCNGCTGAAGTCCTGCACTCAGTACAAGGCCACTGTTTATTCTCAAGCAGCAGATGGCACAGAAGGACAGCCCCAGCACATACATTTCTGGACAAGTATGTTGAGTTGTATAAAATGGCTTCAGCCAGAGTTTCCTAGCACAGTGTTTTATCTTTTGTGATTCTGGTTCTGATTTTTTTTTTTTCGCTTAGCCAGTAGTTCTGTCATCAGAGGGAGTTTTCTGGAAGAGATTTTGGACAGAGCAGATGTGGTGGGTTTCTTAACTCTGCAGCTGTGTTAGGTCTTTCTTTAAGCCCAGTGAAATGAATTGAGCAGCTCCGTGTGCAGGCTCTGGGCACTCCCATGTCTGCCTTTCATATCTCTGTGTATAAGCCAATGAGACAAACTGATATAATATTTTTCTGTTATGAATAGATCATCATTGGTTAATTTTTATTTTCCCCTTGAGATAGGAAAATGAGTTTCCTTTTTGGCCTGCCCTTGGGATTCATACTGATCTTCCTATTGAAACACGTGTTGACATGCACATTCCTGCTTTCCAGCTGTAATTTATCAGCAGTCCCACTCTGTACAGTGACCAGTGTTTGGAGGCTCTTTGGATTGGTGCTGATGAGAGAGTAGAGAAATGTACAGTTCCTACTCTCAGGGAGCTTTCAGTGTAGTTGGGGAGATGAGACAGACATATGTGGAGAAGTACATGGTCAGGCTTTGTGGGCTCAGAACAAATTCCTCAGCCTGGCAGCCCTCAGGGGCTTTGGTGGGTGGGCAACGTGAACTGACTCAGGACAGCTTATCGAAAAAGACTTTTTTTTTTTTTTTTTTTGGGTGGTGGCTGGCCAATATGGGGATCTGAACCCTTGACCTTGGTGTTATAATACCAAGTGCTTTAACCAACTGAGCTAGCAACTAGCCGGTTAGGCCAGCGCCCCCCTTTTTTGGTACAGGGATCTGACAGAAATACACATATGTTGGAATGCTATCCTACAACCATAGAACTGAGGGAGTGAGGCTAGGGGCTGGAGGAGCAAGGACAGAAAACAGACTGGCATCTAGGAAACTGCAGTGCTGGGCCACACCAGACCTGGTGACACACTCTCAGGAGTCCAAGTTGTGGGAGGAAGAGGCTGTCATGTACCAGCTTTCCGGATGGCTGTGCTAGGGGAGGGAGCCCCTGTCCCCCAGCCTCCACATGGGTGACAGGCACTTCCTCCCACCAGGGAGGTCAGGGTGCTATTTGGAAGGGGGGTCGGGGCTGCACAGTAGCACACGGCCACCGTCCCCTGTAGCTGTCCACTAAGTGCTGTGG